TTTTTGTTGGCCTCTTGCCATTGACCATTGGAAAGATAAAGCAAATGAATTATTGTTTTTCCTTTTTTTTTTTTTTGAGACGAAGTTTTGCTTTGTCACCAGGCTGGAGTGCAGTGGTGTGATCTTGGCTCACTGCAGCCTCTGCCTCCCAGGTTCAAGCGATTCTCCTGTCTCGGTCTCCTGATTTGCTGGGACTACAGGCACACACCACTAAGCCCAGCTAATTTTTGTATTTTTAGTAGAGACGGGGTTTGACCATGTTGGCCAGGTGGTCTTAATCTCTTGACCTCATGATCTACCCACCTCAGCTTCCCAAAGTGCTGGGATTACAGGCGTGAGCCAGTGCTCCCAGTGGAATATCTTTTTATAGTTATCACCATGATCCCCTGAATAAAGCCTTCCTGTTACCATCTTTAGCCAGTGTCAAGAATCACTTTTTCTTTAACATCTTCTTTGCTCTTTTTCTTTCTCTCTCTCTCTTTTTTTTTTTTTTTTTTTTTTTTGAGACGAATTCTCACTCTGTCGCCTAGGCTGGAGTGCAATGGGGCAATCTCAACTCACGGCAATCTCGGCTCACCGCAACCTCCGCCTCCCAGGTTCAAGCAATTTTCCTGCCTCAGCCTCCTGAGTAGCTGGGATTACAGGTGCGTGCCACCACGCCCAGCTAATTTTTTCATTTTTTAGTAGAGATGGGGTTTCTCCATGTCAGCCAGGATGATTTTGACCTCCTGACCTTGTGATCCGTCTGCCTCGGCCTCCCAAATTGCTGGGATTACAGGCGTGAGTGCTTGGCTCTTTACTCTTTTTCTTTAACATCCCCTGCCCCCTCACCTCTTTTGAGTCAACACAGTTGTTTAGCAAAGCCTCACATTTCCTTTTGAGAACTAGAAACAAGAGTCTCCAGGTTTGTTTGCTTCCTGGGTAAAGGAAAGAAAGGTGCCGTAGAAGAAGAAATGTTCCTACTAAAGAGAATCTAGATAGGAAATGCTTTCTAAATCAGCTATAAATGTCAAGGATTGTCTGAGTTAATGAAGGGAAGGCAACTTCAGCCTGTGAATTTTGGTGTGAAAAAAAAAAATCTGAAGTTGCGAATCTAGACATCATCCTGAGTACATAGGTGTTATAAACAGACTTCAGAGAAACTACTGCCACCCAGATGTCTGGGTGTGTGAGGAGACCTGTTCCTTGAGGCTCTATCCTGGCCATCGACTGCTGGATAACCAGGTGATTCACCCTCCAAACCAGAAGTGCTCTTGTGTATGGTAATACCAGGCTGTGAGAAAGCAGCAAAAGCAGTATTGTTTTGCATCAAGTACTAATTAAATTTGATTTGATTCAGGTTTAACAAATCCTTGTGCCTAGCACTGGGCTTGGTGCCAGGGCCCTCAAGGAATCTTAGGTTGCCTGATGAGACAGGTAACTAAATATTATAGCTCTTATCAGACAAGCTAATAGGGCTAAAAGTTAAAAGGGTTGCCGGGCGCGGTGGCTCAAGCCTGTAATCCCAGCACTTTGGGAGGCCGAGGCGGGTGGATCACGAGGTCAAGAGATCGAGACCATCCTGGTCAACATGGTGAAACCCCGTCTCTACTAATGGTGCAAAAAATTAGCTGAGCATGGTGGCGCGTGCCTGTAATCCCAGCTACTCTGGAGGCTGAGGCAGGAGAATTGCCTGAACCCAGGAGGCGGAGGTTGCGGTGAGCCGAGATCGCGCCATTGCACTCCAGCCTGGGTAACAAGAGCGAAACTCCGTCTCAAAAAAAAAAAAAAAAAAAAGTTAAAAGGGTTAACATCCTGGAGAGCAGACCAAATCTTTCTGCTGGGTTTCCACCAGGTATTATCTTACAAAATCCAGCTCATAAAATCTGTGTCACAGCCGGGCGCGGTGGCTCAAGCCTGTAATCCCAGCACTTTGGGAGGCTGAGGTGGGTGGATCACGAGGTCGAGAGATCGAGACCATCCTGGTCAACATGGTGAAACCCCGTCTCTACTAAAAATACAAAAAACTAGCTGGGCGTGGTGGCGCGTGCCTGTAATCCCAGCTACTCAGGAGGCTGAGGCAGGAGAATTCCTGAGCCCAGGAGGTGGAGGTTGCGGTGAGCCAAGATCGCGCCATTGCACTCCAGCCTGGGTGACAAGAGCAAAACTCCGTCTCAAAAAAAAAAAAAAAAAATCTGTGTCACAGATTTTATGTGTTTATGTGTTTATGGGTAGAACTATCTTAAGCATTGGAACCTTTTGGTCAGATGGATGAAATTCTCTGTTTTTTTTTTTGTTTTTTTTTTTTGTTTTTTTTTTTTTTGAGAAAAAGTCTCACTCAGGCTGGCATGCAATGGTGTGATCTCAGCTCACTGCAACTCTGCCTCCCTGGTTCAAGCAATTTTCCTGCCTCAGCCTCCCGAGTAGCTGGGATTACAGGTGTGCACCACCAGCCCAGCTAAATTTTGTATTTTTAGTAGAGACGGGGTTCCACTATGCTGTTCAGGCTGGTCTCAAACTCCTGATTTGTGATCCATCCACCTCAGCCTCCCCGATTGCTGGGGTTACAGGCGTGAGCCACCGAGCCTGGCCAGGGAAACACTTCTTTTTTTTTTTTTTTTTGAGACGGAGTTTCACTCTTGTTACCCAGGCTGGAGTGCAATGGCAGGATCTCGGCTCACCGCAACCTCCGCCTCCTGGATTCAAGCAGTTCTCCTGCCTCAGCCTCCTGAGTAGCTGGGATTACAGGCACGCACCACCATGCCCAGCTAATTTTTTGTATTTTTAGTAGAGATGGGGTTCCACCATGTTGACCAGGATGGTCTCGATCTCTTGACCTTGTGATCCACCCGCCTCGGCCTCCCAAAGTGCTGGGATTACAGGCTTGAGCCACCACGCCCGGCCTGGGAAACACTTCTTAATCCAACTAGCTGCAATTTCCTCAAGTGTAAAAACAAAACGAAACAACAGGAATAATAACAGTAGCCGGGCGCGGCGGCTCAAGCCTGTAATCCCAGCACTTTGGGAGGCTGAGGCGGGTGGATCACGAGGTCAAGAGATCGAGACCATCCTGGTCAATATGGTGAAACCCTGTCTCTACTAAAAATACAAAAAATTAGCTGGGCATGGTGGCACGTGCCTGTAATCCCAGCTACTCAGGAGGCTGCGGCAGGAGAATTGCCTGAGCCCAGGAGGCGGAGGTTGCGGTGAGCCGAGATCGTGCCATTGCACTCCAGCCTGGGTAACAAGAGCGAAACTCCGTCTCAAATAAACAAATAAATAATAATAGTAAAGACAGCAGGCATGGTGGCTCATGCCTGTCATTCCAGCACTTCAGGAGGCCAAGGTGGGCAGATTGTGTGAGCCCAGGAGGTAGAGACCAGCCTGGGCAACATGGTGAAATCTCATCTCTACCAAAAATACAAATATTAGCCAGGTGTGGTGGTGCGCACCTGTGGTCCCTGCTACTCAGGAGGCTGAGGTGGGAGGGTCACTTGAGCCCAGAGGACCAGGCTGCAGAGAGCTTCGCCACTGTACTCCAGTGTGGGTGACACAGTGAGACCTTGTCTCAAAAAAAAAAAAAAGTAAAGTCGTGAAATTAATGCCCCCAACATATACTGTTCAATAAATGTTATCTATTGTTACTATCTCTTGTTTTGAGCTTACTGGGGGCAGAGTATAAATTATCTCCATTATTATGGTTGTTATTGAGGACTGATGAGCTGAGGGAGTGGGAAGTCTGGAATGACTCCTAGGTTTTACCAAGCCCTCTGCTCCTTCACGGTACTGTGTTCTGGTACCAAGCACAATGCTCTTCCTCCTCCTCTTCTTTTTTCCTAGACAGAGTCTTGCTCTGTAACCTAGGCTGGAGTGCAGTGGCACCATCTCGGCTCACAGCAACCTCTGCCTCCTGGGTTCAAGCAATTCTCCTGCCTCAGCCTCTTGAGCAGCTGGGGTTACAGGCATGAGCCACCACACTCAGCTAATTTTTGTATTTTTAATAGAGACGGGATTTCACCATGTTGGTCAGGCTGGTCTCTCACTCCTGACCTCGTGATCTGCCTGTCTCAGCCTCCCAAAGTGCTGGAATTACAGGTGTGAGCCACCGCACCTGGCCCCTTCCTCTTCTTTTACCATGACGTCTTTTCTTTTCTTTCTTTCTTTCTTTTTTTTTCTTTTTCTTTTTCTTTTTTTTTTTTTTGAGATGGAGTCTCGCTCTGTCGCCCAGGCTGGAGTGCAGTGCCGTCCCCTGGACGGGACCAGATCCTAGAACTTCATAAAGTCATGGGTGAAAGGGTCCCCAGTTTATTATCCTGTAAAATAGTAGCTGGGACATTTCTGAGGCCCAGAGAGGGGAAATAACTTGTATGAACAGGTTAGGAGCAGGCCAGGTGCTGTGGCGGGCACCTGTAGTCCCAACTCGGGAGGCTGAGACGAGAGGATCGCTCGAGCCCAGAACTCGTTGAATAGCCACTGCACTCCAGTCTGAGCAGTACAGCGAGACCCCGCCTCAAAAAGCAAAAATATTAACAAACACATAGCTTATGCGCAGAACTGGGACTCAAACCTGGGTTTCCTGCCCGTCCCCCACACCTCCCAGGCCGTCGCTAATATCCTCAGGCTGTCTCTCGGGGCCGCTCACTTGGAACTGCCCCAAAGTCAGGACGAAGACGTCTCCCAGCCCTGGGGACTCTCGACCCTGCAGTTTGCACGGCGGATGGAGGCAGCCAGGCTCTCTGGGGAGCTGCGGGACGCCCCGGAACTTGGAAAAGCCTCAGAGCGCGCCCCTGGGGGGAAGGGGAACTCGGGACCTCGAGGCGGCTGGAAGTCGAGGGAGTCGCCAGGGTCAGGGATCGAGTTTCGGCTTGGGTGTGGAGCACAAAGCCGAACGCTAGGCGCTGGGAACCCCTCCAGTGCGCTCGGCCGGACAGAGCAGGGCCGCCCCACCCCCGGCCTGCCAGGCGCAGTCGGCCCCGCCCCCTGGAGCTCCGTTCCCCAGGCAGCGGGCGCCACGCGCAGTCGGCAGATCCTCCCGCCGGGCGAGCGGCGTCCCTGCTGCTGCGCTCGCCCAGGCCCTGGGCTGCGGGCTCCCGGCCGCCCGCGAAAGCATGGCCCGGCCGGTGCAGCTGGCGCCGGGCTCGCTGGCGCTGGTGCTGTGCCGGCTGGAGGCGCAGAAGGCCGCAGGGGCCGCGGAGCCAGGCGGGCGCGCGGTGTTCCGCGCCTTCCGTCGTGCCAACGTGCGCTGCTTCTGGAACGCGCGACTAGCGCGCGCCGCCTCGCGGCTGGCCTTCCAGGGCTGGCTGCGGCGCGGGGTGCTGCTGGTGTGCGCGCCACCCGCCTGCCTGCAGGTGCTGCGCGACGCCTGGCGGCGCCGGGGACTGCGACCACCGCGAGGCTTTCGCATCAGGGCGGTGGGTGAGTTCGGGGCCCGGAGGGGTGGGGCGTCCCACGCCAGCTGTGGGCTCCGAGCTCCTCGCTACCGGGGCGAGCGTGGCCCGGGCTTCTGCCACAGAGGCGAGGCGCCGCTCTGAGGCGCGGGGGCTGGAATTGGGGGTTCGGTCCGGGGGCCAAGACTTCCCGGAGACGTTCCCTCCCGCTACGACACTGCCTCTGGAGTCCCCAAGTGTGTCTGGCCACTGCTGGGGCTGGCCCCGGGCTGCGTCCGTTCCGCAACTCTTAAAGCCGGTGGAGTGCACAGAAGGAACTTTCTACTTAGAAAAGTGATGCTCTGGATAGAGAGGCTTTGGGCTAGGGACCACTGTGTAGGCTTCCATGGGGCGCTTAGGAAGGAAGGGTACCCCAGGGGAAAGGCCAGAGTTTACCAAATCATCTGGCTGCTTTTTTTTAAAAAATTACAGATTCGCATCGGATGGCATTCAGGTTTTCACGTCCTGTCGTACTGGGTGGTGTGCTGGTCTTGGGTCGGGACCTAGCCGCTTTGGGGTCGTTAACTTCTTGGGGAAAACACATTTAAGTAGCGTCTCATCCCTTTAGCTAAATAGAGAGGATTCCACCTTCCCAGTCTTTTCAGACTTAGCCGTCTGTTAGGTTTCTTAGACAGCAGCAGCTTTTTGCCGGCATAAAATAGATTCTCATTCGAGAAACGAAACAGCTGCACGGGTGAGTGGTCTCTGACTGGCTGCTAACCCCAGGCGGGCGTGTCAGCTCCCTTAACAGCCTGGTTCTTGTCTGCATTTATGTGAGGCTGCAGGGCCATTTTATGCAGTGTTGACAAGTCACCAGCTGTTCCAGCGCTTAATTTTCATACCTACCAAGGAACCCCTCCCGGTTAGTCCATAAATCATCTTCCTCTTCCATCCGAGGAGAAGTAAAAGCAAATAAAAAACATTCCTTTGGCCGGGCGCGGTGACTCACACCTGTAATCCCAGCACTTTGAGAGGCTGAGGCGAGTGGATCACCTGAGGTCAGGAGTTAAGAGACCAGTCTGGCTAACATGGTGAAACCCCATCTCTATTAAAAATACAAAAATTAGCTGGGCATGGTGGTGGGCGCTTGTAATCCCTGCTACTTGGGAGGCTGGGTGACGAGTGAAACCCCATGTCAAAAATGAAAAAAAGAAAGAAAAAAGCACTTGTTTAATTCCCAAGAATTAGGAAACAGGGCAGCAAGAAGCACCTGACCAGTACTGTGTATCATCCATTCATAGATGACGTTACCACATCCCAGCAGCCAGTGCTTTAAATCTTTGCCTCTCACCTCCATGCTATCTGTTCCCTAGCCTCCCTGCCCCACCCATCTTTTTCTTAAAAACAAAAAAAGAGCTCATTGCAGAACCATATATATATATTTCATTTCCTTTTACTTGCAGGAGTGAAGAAAATAGGTTTCTGGCTCTGAGAGCAGTGAGCCATGTAGCCAAGCCAAAATCCTGATAAGGGAAGAGGTCTTTCAGACAGGCTCAGTGAAAAACTCTTGTCAATTCTGTATCCTCAGTTTTTCTGGTTTGAATTAGTGGTTACATTCTCAGGTCCCCCCTGCCTTTCAAAGGGTGAGCGTAGAGTATATTGCAGAGAGGGTGTGGGATGTGAGGGGTGTCTAGACCTGGGGATGAAATAAGAGAGGGCTTGTGCTAAGTCACAGGCAGCCACTAATGCCCCAGCAAGCAGTGATAAATGCTGGCGTCTGTGTTGGTGCTGTTGAAATACGCAGCACACAACACCTGTTGCTCCCATTCTCTTCTGCACAGTAAGTAATGCTGCTTCACCTCTACCTCCTGGGTTCAAGTGTTTCTCCTGTCTCAGTCTCTGGAGTAGCTGGGATTATGGGTGCCCGCCACCACACCCAGCTAAATTTTGTATTTTTGGTAGAGACGGGGTTTCACCATGTTGGCCAGGCTGGTCTCCTGACCTCAAGTGATCCGCCCACTTTGGTCTCCCAAAGTGCTGGGATTACAGGTGTGAGCCAGCGCCCCCAGCAATTTTTTTTTTTTTAATTTTCATTCATTTTTTTAAGCCCTGACCATGGCAAGGACAGATTTTGAAGTTTTAAACAAGTCCTGATAAGTATTTGAACATTTAGCTGGGATTTGGACAAAGCCACCCATTAGGGCATTTTGAGGAGCAAAATGGAGAAAGATTTTATTTGATGCTGAGTGATGGATACACTTGGTGGGCAAAGGGGTTGCTTTTGCTTTGAATGGTGTTACTAATTGCCGATTTCTGGTCCAACTTGGGGTCCCTGGGTTTATATCAAGAGAGAAGAGGCAGCTCTTGGGCTACCTTAGAGTCCTGGAGGGTGGCAAAGGCAGGAGAAGCTGCTTTCCCCAAAAGGAATCGAAAGTTTGAGTCTGCTTGCTCTCTTGTCTCTGGCAGCACTGGCTTCCAGGAGGGCAGGGAAAGAGCTGCTGGGGACTATTGCAGGTTCTTGTTTCGTTTTCACTGTTTGTGGGAAAAAGCAAAATGCTAGAAAAGGCTATAGAGTCAGTCTGGTCTCTTTGCTTTAGATTTTTTTAAACGCTAATTTACGGCTGCATGAAAGTGTTAGTGCGTAGGAAGTATTGCTGGCCAGCTCAGGTAGAAAATGCAGGGGGAGAGGGATGGCGGTCAGCTTTGTAAGTCCAGCTGTGCTGCCTTGGGTCCTTCTGGACTTAGGGACCTCCGACTCATAAGGTACGATGAGGGAGTGCCCTAGTTAAGCAAACAGAAGTGACCAAAGCCCCAGGTCCAGAGCTGAACTTAAGTAATGCAGAGGTTTATGTTTTTTCCATGTTTTGTCCCTTTTCTCTCCCTCTTCACTCTCTCTACCTCATCTTTCCTCTGGTAAGAAAAATAGTTCCCAGGCAGAGACTATTTCTCTAAAAAGAGAGACAATGGATCTTCAGCTTGATTAACAAGGGGCTAACCCTGCTTTTGTGCTCCAGTCCTTTAATGTTGTATCTTTTTTCTTTATTTTTTTTTCAAGTTTTAATTAAAGCTTGTATACAAGATTACTTTATTCCTGCATCTTCTCAGTTGTTTCTTCCTTGTATCTGCCCTTTTCCTTTCCTGCTTGGCGAGGTTTGGCTTTCCGTTCAAGGATCTTTTTGCGGTCTTTGTCCAGTTTTAGCCTAGTGGTAACCACCTTGCTGGGGTGAATGCCTACACGCACAGTTGTGCCATTAGCCTTTTCCCGCTGCACCCGTTCAGTGTACATTACGCATTTCTTCCTGTAAACCTGGACTACTTTGCCAATCTGCTGACCTTTATAGTGTCCTCGTACAACCTGAACTTCATCATCCTTTCGGATGGGCATGGATCGCACGTTGTACTTCTGTCTCAGCTCTTTGGAAAGAGGGGAGGTCATAATCTTCCTGCGAATGTGGGAAGGTGCATTGAATTGCCTTTTGCGATTCTTGCTTCGGTCGGAAGTCACAAAGGGATTGAACTTCATTTTGGCAGCTCCCGCTTAGTTGATGGCCACCTCTTTTTTCTTTTTCTTTTAGTAGACCTTGCTCTGATTGCCAGGCTGGTCTCTAACTGCTGGGTCCAAGGGATCCTCCCACCTCAGCCTCCCAAAGTGCTGGGATTAACAGCACTGGCCCAAATGTTTTGTTTTTTGTTTTTCATTAGCCAGTGCCATTAACAAATGAAAGAGTGAGTTCTGAAAGCTGGAGGGAGACCCTGCCTCACCAGCTGAGCAACTGGGGAAGGAGGTACTGCAGAGAGGTGGGGCACTTGTATTTGTTTGGAAGAATCTGTTGCTACTCTGAGAATACACCTAATGGGACAGGAAAGATTAACAGTGGGAGGCCACTTGGCCAAACAAGCTTCTTCCAGTCTCCTGAAATTTATAGCTGGGTTATCTCCACCCTGTCACCCCCAGCAGGGCCTTTCATCTTTTCTCACTGAATAAAAATGCCCCAGGCTGGGCCTGGTGACTCTTTTTTTTTTTTTTAGACGGAGTTTTGCTCTTGTTACCCAGGCTGGAGTGCAATGGCACGATCTCGACTCGCCACAACCTCCGCCTCCTGGGTTCAGGCAATTCTCCTGCCTCAGCCTCCTGAGTAGCTCGGATTACAGGCACGTACCACCATGCCCAGCTAATTTTTTGTTATTTTTAGTAGAGACGGAGTTTCACCATGTTGACCAGGATGGTCTCGATCTCTTGACCTCGTGATCCACCCGCCTCGGCCTCCCAAAGTGCTGGGATTACAGGCTTGAGCCACCGCGCCCGGCGGGCCTGGTGACTCTTGATGGTAATGCCAGCACTTTGGGTGGCTGAGGCGAGCAGATCACTTGATGTCAGGAGTTCAAGACCAGCCTGGCCAACATGGTGAAACCCTGTCTCTATTAAAAATAGAAAAATTAGCCAGGCGTGGTAGCACGTGCCTGTAATCCCAGCCACTTGGTAGGCTAAGGTAGGAGAACCTAGGAGGCAGAGATCACAGTGAGTTGAGATTGTACCACTGCATTCCAGCCTGGGCAACAGAGTGAGACTGTCTCAAAAAAAAAAAAAGAAAAAAAGAAAAAAAGAAAGCAGCAAGTACTGGTAGCTCTTTTTAAATACTTGATTCATGAATTCATTCACAAGCCAGGTACTGTTCTAGGTGCTTCTGTGTGTTTTGTTTTGTTCTGAGACAGAGTTTACTCTCTCACTCAGGCTGGAGTGCAATGGTATCGGCCTAGGTCACTGCAGCCTCGACCTCCTGAGTGCAAATGATCGTCCTACTTCAGCCTCCTGAGTAGCTGGGACCACAGATACATACCACCATGCCTAGCTAATTAAAAAAAAAAAAATTTTAGTAGAGGCAGGTCTTTTTTGCTGTGTTGCCCAGGTTGGTCTCAGACTCCTGGGCTCAAGCAGTCCTGCCTCTACAGGCATGAGCCGTTGCGCCCAGCCGCTTCTGTGTTTTAATGCATCTTTCATTCAGACTTGCTTCTGCTCAAGGGAAATAGAGTCAGCCTGTTTCTCCCATC